TGATTACACGAAAACATTTACCTTTCTCAGATCAATTTTTCTTAAGTTTACCCTCAAAAAAACCCCACTGAGTTTCTTTTGAACCAGAATGCCATTACACTTACAGATAAAATTTAAAAAATTATTTTTAAAATATTGAGATGCCATCTAGTAATAAGCAGATATATAAAGCCACCTACACACATACACACACACACACACACACACACACACACACACACATATGTGCACAAATACATGTATACAATCTTCATCTTCACTGTGACTGGTACTCTGGCCACAGACAAATGAAATTTCCTTACTTCTAAGATAACATTTCCATTCCTAAATCACAAAATCTTAGAGCTAGAAGAACATTATAGATCACTTAGTCCAACACCTCTTGTAAGCCCAGTTACGTTTACCTCAAGCCTACTCGAGAATCATTTCAAAATTAAAATGAATATACCTTTTACATGAAACATAATCATAAAGTACTGCTTGGACCACACACAAGGCAAAGAAGTGGGCTACATTTACTGAAGACTGCTTTCAATTTAGGAATCCTTTTAGAATAAGATCCATACTCAGCTCAAGGAAAAAAACAGAGTATCACAAGTACATACACTTGCAACAGCTCCAAATACTGTTTCAGACACTCATGTTTCCAAAGTAAGTCTTTTTTGTTACAGTGTGTCCAGGAACCAAACTTAATAGTACATCATTCCATTCCCAATTGTTCCATCATATTTATTAAGAACACAAATTCAACAACAATCTCCAAATGGAATAAACTGAAACAATTCTAAAAGTGTTTCTCAAGCCTGGCTGCCCATGTAATCACCTGTGGAGCTTCTAAAAATAAGCTTGCGTGGGTCCCACCCTGGGACCTTCAGTATGTTCTTTTTCTTTTTTAAAGCTATAGTAGGTTCTATTCTCAGCCAAAGTTAAGAACCACTATTCCAAAAGATTCAGCCCTTAATATGTCTAGTATCCCTATATATGGGGGGGGGGGTGAAGAAGGAGTAATGATAAAGCATCTTCACCAGCCTACCAACATTTGCTGCTGATTCACAGAGCTCTATCCCTACATTATGCCAGTCTTAAAGCAGAAAAAATGGGGGGGGGGGCCTGGGTGGCACAGTCATTTAACCATCTGACTCTTGGTTTTGGCTCAAGTAATGATCTCAGGGTTGTGAGATTGGGCCCTGTGTAGGGCTCCATGCTCAGTGAGGAGTTTACTAAAGTTTCTCTCTCCCTCTCCCTCTGCCCCTCCTGGTGCTCCCTCCCTTCCCATTCCCCCCCAAAACAAACAAATAAATAAATCTTGAAGAAAATAAAAAATTGGGAAAAACAAAGTTTTTGACTGTTCGTAGATGTGATGGGGCCATTATGATATGTGAAATGCCTTTTTCTTTCTTCTCCCTTGAAGGCAACCCTCCACCCCACATCTCCCAAGAGAAAGGGTGGCAGATGTTCACTTTAAAAACAGCTAATACTATTAGAATTTTACATAAATTCCTCTTTCACTTTGTGAAATAGAAGGGTATAAACACACTCATAAAAATAAATAAGAGAGATTAATGATCTGGCTGGGATATCATGACATGAGATGAAATTTCGGTCAAAGAACTGTTGCTTCACAACTGCAGGGAAGTGCCAACGCACTCACCACCCTCTGAAGGTAGCACAGAAGCAAAGAAAGGCCAATACACTGAAGGAAAAAACTTAACAGTGCAAATATACAAACTAAATCAAACTGTTTCTAAGGTCTAACCCTCCAAGAAAATGATCACACTTTCTAATAATAACACTTTCACTAAACTGAAGCCCAGTGTGACTCATATTCCTGTTATGAGTGACTCATATATATATACACCTTCTATCCCTGGGAAAAGCACCTGAAAAATAGAGTACATAAAGCTACACCGTAAGCTACAGCTAAGTAATTAGTGAGGGTCAAGCATGCATTAAACAGACCTTAATCACACACTAATATGCTGCAAAAGGAGGGTCATGAAACCAAATCATCCTACAGACAACTATTCTTCCATGCTCCAATTCTGGCCTAGCCAAAAATATTTTCTTATATTCTGTAAACTCATTTGGTGAAACAGCTATCAAATATGCTCCATCCTGACAGGAAAGGCATCACACAGAGAAGTTTACCACCTTACTATCAAGAAAAACTAAATTCTCTTAGATGAGCACTGGAACTTGTCCAAGCAAGAGTCAGAAATTTTACGTTTAAAAAAAAAAAAGGCATGTGAAGAGACAGGTATTTGTGGTTTAGTGCAATCAGTTTTAACAAAATACAACTTTCCCAGTATCTTTTCTTAGAAATGTGGCCCAAATCAATGATATAATTCCTACGCCTTAACCTTTCTTTCACATGACCACATAAAATAGCAAAATTTAAGTAGCAAATATAATTAAGGGAACTGTAACCCCAAAAAAATCTGCAGTAAAAACTGAGATGATGTACAGTTATAAACACTGATAAGTAACTATTTGCCAAGAAATTCAAACAAAAACAAAGATAAAAATCTTTCTTTAAAGCACTTCATATGAATGATCTGCATGTAAGCCACATGCCTAGCCAGGTAGTAAAGAGACGACCCTGCTCCTGGAATATTTCAAGCAAAAGCAGCTTTCTGAAAAAAACTGACATAAATAATTCCTTCCTTAGCAAATATTTCTTTTGAAGTATAGCTATGTTGGAATAACTTAACTGAATTCACATACCTTTGAATACTTCATACTTTCAAAACTTTATGAAATATTTAGACATATATTCTAATCTTGAAAAAAAAATTTAAACATAGTAAAATCACAGGCATCTTTTTAAAATATTTGTATGCCACTACAAATCTTGAAAGTTCAATGAATATCTGGGAAACAAATACACTACCCTATTTTAAACAACTATAAAACCTAAATTTACACTTAAAATGTACTTTTCAGTTTGTTCCAAAATCTGGACTTCTTACTTTGCCCAAATACAACTGAGGTCAGCGGGGGGGAATTGTTCTGCCTACAAAATTTGTGAAACTGAACTCCATTTCATTATGTCCAAAAAGCTTACTGCTAATAAATATCTAGGATGGATTACATTAGAAACCATTCTCTCAGGAACTTTAACCTGACACCAAGATTCTGACTGCCTACACTTAGGAGTCGGAAGACAGGGAGAGATAGACTTTAGCTTGTTTAGAAGAAATGTAGTTACTAAATATATGCTGTTAAATTTTACTAGTATTTCAAAATCTTTCTCTTCCCCATTCTTCTTGTCCCTCTCCCCCTTCATTCTTTTGCATCTTACCAACCTGCAAGAAACCAAAAAAAGTATCCCCAGTATCAAACACACTACCTCTGATTCAATATGGATTTGGGTGTTAAGGGATGTTTTTAGATTTAAGATTTCAAATTCAAAACATGTTTCAAAATTGTACTTGACCCCAAGCTACACTCACAATTGCCAAAAGTTAATCTTTTTTTTTTCCTATTTTATCCCCTTACCCCCTTCTTATAAACTTATCAGCAGGAAACCAATTATTTGCAGACAAATAAGCAGGGGGAGGGGGGTGCTGCTTGGTTCAATCTAGGAAGACCAATAAACAAGCCTGGGAGCACCAGGAAAATCAAGAACCACTCACTCATCCCCCATCCTTAATCTGCATATAAATTCTATAGGACAAAGTTCTTGCACTCACTCTCATGATTTCACTTAATTCAACCGCCTGCTTTCTAAACGTTTTTATTTAAAACTGTGAAGAGAGATTTGGACAAACAATTCAAAAGACAATGAACTTTTACCTCAGTTAACCTAAGTATATCTCGGTTAACTGAAATACAGAGAACTAAAATCTCCTACCAGGTGCAGAACTCTGGGCAGTCCAGGCAAAATGTCTTCTCACAGAAGCGATGTACCTGAAGAGCTCTGTGTAATTTATCTTCAGTTAAGATTTGTTTCTCTTGCAAATGTTTACCTACAAACTCAGTTTCCAGAACACACTCAAGCTGATTTAAGTTGGAGGGCACAGATTTACCGAGATTTTAAGGGGATCATTTCCTTGGCTTAGCCAGTTAAGGTTAGTAGCCAAAAGAACATCTGCAAGTGGTTTTTGAGGGACTCACCAGGCACAGGGGAAATTTACAAAAGAGAAAAGGGCCGCAGGGCCAAGCTTGGGCTTGTGTAAACATAGATCACCTACGCGCTGGCCTGGCTACCGAAAACAATGTTCCTCCAGAATAGGTGTCCAGGTGGCTAACTGACTTTCCGGAGGTGAGAGTTAAAAACAAACGCTTACACCCACCAGACACTACATTATTTTACCTGTCACCAAGAAAAGGGCACGTCTAATCCAGAAAAAAAAGAGAAGGAAAAAAAAAGTCGTTTTCCCTTCAAGAAGGGCAGCGGTTTGGAGTCATTTGCAGGGGATGGGATTGCAGGAAGGGGGGGAGGGGGCGTGGAATAAAGGAGCGCTCAAAGGAGAGGCAGGGCCCCACACAGGCCACTGCGGAGAGAAGACGGGGGAAGAGGGGAAGATGTCTCACCGGGGGACAAAACCGAGTGCAAACCCGGCTGGAAGAAGGAAGGTTCCCCCCAGGAGACGAGCTGGGGTGCAGATAAAAAGCGCTAACGGCTGGTTACCTTGGGACACAGGGGAAAGGGACAACGGGAATACAAAGGTCTACAGAGATGTGAGGAAAGGAAAGGATGAGGCAGGGTCTCGGGTAAGTGCGGACCCGGGAAGAAGACAGACAAACAGCGGGGCTGGGGCCTCCCAGGGCCAAAAGGCGTGGCCAGGGATCCAGATCAAAACGATGGTCTTTTTGAGACGCCAGGGGAAGTGCGCGGCAAACCCCTCCTTCAAGACCCCGGGCCAGACCCGTCCGAGGGGCCCAACTGCGAGGCACCTCGAGGCCGGAACGCGCTCGGAGGGCTCTGGTCTCGCCCGCGGGGCCCTCCGCAGGGCCGGCTGCCCAGACCCCCGCCCCCACCCCCGCAGTGCTCTTACCTCCACACCTGCCCCATCTGCAGCAGGTGGATGACCGACTGCCAGATCCACACGGAGAGGCGGCACAGGCGCTGCGCCCCCGGCGTGGCCGAGCCCCCCACGCCCGGGCCGCCGCGGGCCGCGCCGTGGCCATAGCCGGCCCCCATCATGGGGGGGCCCCGGCTGCTGAGCCCCTCCACGGCGCCCAGCCCGCCGCCCGTGTAGTCCTGCACGAACCAGCGGAAGCTCAGGCTCTGCACCAGCAGCGACGGCACCAGCACGAAGAAGAGGGTCAGCCCGAAGAAGCCGTAGTCCCCCTTGCGGTAGTAGTCGAGGGCCAGCCACAGGTCGGTGCCCACGTCCCCGAAGAAGACCAGCAGCGCCAGCACGATCCACAGGCAGTCGAGCCACGGCCGCTCCACCTGCGGCGGCGGCGGTTGCGGTCGAGTGGCAGGCGTCGGGTGGTCGTGGTCTGCGCCGGCGGCCGCGGGCGGCTGCAGCGGCTGGTCCCCCCCGTCGGCGGCGGCGGCGGCGGCGCTGCGGCGCGGCTTCTTGCCCAGGAGGGAGCGCAGGCAGGCGGAGCGGCAGCCCCAGTAGCACGAGGAGGTGTTGCAGCAGTGGCAGATGTGCAGCGAGCTGCTCTCGCCGGGCTCGCTGCCGTCGCCGCCGCCGCCGCAGCCGCCTCCCCCGGGCTCCCCGTCCTCCTCGCCGCCGCTGCCCACCGCCTCGTCCAGGTTGTGCAGCTGGGCGAAGCCCACCCCCACGCCACCGCCATCGGATTTCGCCGCCATCTTGACTCTCTTCCCAGCTCCGGAGGTTGGGGGGGGAGGGACGGGTGGGGGGGGGAAGAAGGCAGGGAACGGGGAGGGGGGGAAACGAATGGAGAGGAAGGGGGGCGGGGAGGAAGCGGGGGAGCAAACGAACGAGGGGGGAGTGGGCCAGGGAACCCCCTCCGCTTCCGGGTAGTTGGCGTCACTTCCGGGCGAGCCCCCCAATCGCACGGCGCCCGCAGCTCCCCAGCCCTACCCTCCCGGCCAAGATGGCCGCCCTCCTGTGCCTCAGCTGCTGGGCGGGGGACCGGGGGGTTCTCCCCGCCAGGGCTCCCCTTCCCCTCTTCCGTTGACCCCGAAACCCATCAGGTTGACCCCTCGGCGTTTCTGAATCCCGCTGGGCCGAGTGATGCGGTCCAAAGTGATCCCTGGAGGGGGCAGTGCCAGACGTTTTGGGGTCCCCTTCCTCAGCGTCGCAGCTCACAGCTTTCCTCCTGGAGAAACGCCCCCTAACACCCTCCCGGCTGCTGGCGGAGGGGCGGGACCTCTGAGGGAAGGGGCGGAGCTAGTGCAAAGCAGGTGATTACGTGTCACTTCCGGGAGATAGGATGACCTCATTGAGTAGTTAGGCACCCCCCCAACATCAAGATGGCTGTGCCTCACCTCTTTGGTTGTTTGGGGTTTGTTTTTTTTTTTCCCTTTCAAAATTCTTTTACTCTTTTCTTATTTGGGGGGTCTTGAGAAATTACATAAGTCAGTTTAGATTCCCACATACAATTTACTGATTCTCACTTGTATTTGGACACCTTCCCTCCTCTGTTGACCCCCTGATTTTCTGTCACTGACGACTTTACCATCTTTAGTAATAAAGTTTCCATCATTCCCTTAAGAAAACTCCAAAGTCCAGTTAAAAGTCAGCCTATGCATCTTGAACGTCGGAGAGAAGATTGAATTGGCATTAGTGACCTTGAATATTTTCTTCATCACTGGAATGTATTTCTACCAACTTTTTTTTTAAGTACATGATTTTAAGGTTATGTGACCTTAACTTGTAAAATTCAGAACTAGCCAGGGTTTAAGCTATATCAATTACTTGTTCAAGTTATTTGAATGTGTGAAGCCTGCCTTTTAGAATTTTTTTGGTCCTAAAGCTCTATCAGTAAACATGGCTTTAAATGAGTAAAAATGTTATCAATGTGCGGTATCATTAAAACAGGTGCAAGGTACACTACTTAATCTTAACAAATTACAAAAGCAAAGCACCACTGAGTGGATTTAAATTACAATGATCTTCTAGTGAAAGTATATTTGAAGTCAGGCAAAGCAAACTACATGGTTACAGTTGTTACTGATCAAGTGAAAGAAACATATTGAAGTTAAAAAAAGAAAAAAGAAAGTGTTTTAAATCCTGAATTCTCTCCTTAACCTCACCAGATTTTCATACTCATTTTTTCTGATTCTGTCTACTTCTCTCTTCAGTGAAACCTAAGAATACCATCATTTTCTTTGGAATGCTGAGGACAAATTAGGTAGTATTTGCACTGACGTTCTGTGGAAGAAAGGTGCCTTTGAAATTTTCAGTATTATTTTGAGGTATATGGTATTTAACACTATAGCACCTAGTTAATTGGGGTGGCAGGGCAAACAAGGATTCCATATTTTAGGACACAACTTTTCATGAGTATTTATGTTAAGGTAAATACTATAAAGACTTTATAGAAAGCACTCATAGAGGGGCACCTGGGTGGCTCAGTGGCTAAGCGTCTGCCTTCGGCTCAGGTCATGATCCCAGGGTCCCAGAATCGAGCCCTGCATCGAGCCCCGCATTGAGCCCTCTGCTCGGCAGGAAGCCTGCTTCTCCCTCTCCCACTCCCCTTGCCTGTGTTCCCTCTCTCACTGTGTCTCTCTCTCTGTCAGAGAAAGAAAGAACTCATAGAGAATTTTTACCCCAGCCACTGGGGAGAGAGGTGAGGGGAAAAGGGGAGAAGTAGTTCCAAAATCTACTTTTGGAAACAAGTCACATAACTGTATCCTTTTATTTCACTTTATGATTTAAGCCTCTTTGTTCCTACGGTAGTAAAACTGATAGCTGGCAGGTAAGGATACTTCCTCATGTAGGTGGCATTCTATTTCTTTACGGAATTTGAATTAATAATATTTTAGAAAGACAGATTAAGTGTAGATTAGGACTGCCTAGGTCTGGATCCCAGTTCCACTAAAATAATAATGTGAATGGTAAAAAGGAAACCGAAGGCCCAAAATGGCATCACTCTGGCCAAGTCACCAAACCAAGGCTTAATATCTGACTGCAGTTTCAACCTCCCCCAGAAATGTGGTCTTAACTAGTCAGTCAGAAATTTTCTGAGCAATACCAATAGAGTAATTTGTCACATGGACCCTCTCCATCCCCCAAAGGAATATGAAGTAATCTACCTAATAAGAACCCCTGCCCTTGCAGCTAAGGCAAAGTGACCTTGCCTGGTACAACTCATTCTTTTCTTTTGCTAGTAACTTTCTTGCCCACCCTCCTTCTATAAAAACCTTCCATTCTGTAGAACTCCTTGGAGCTCCCCTCTACTTGCTAAATGAGATGCTGCGCAATTCATGAATCATTTAATAAAACTAACTAGATCTTTACATTTACATGGTTGAATTTTTGTTCTTTAACATGAATAATGTGAACAAGATAACCTCCTGAAACCTCAGTTTCCTCCATTGTATCATGGAAATAATAACGTGCCTTCTCTGAAAAGTTGTTGGGTGAATTTAAAGAGGTAATCCATTTGAAACTATCAACATGATAGGTAGTAAGTACTAAATAAATGATAACTGCTATTTCTATTATTATTGTTATCATGATTATGTTTGAATAGTACCAACACAGTTACTTAAATTCTGTCATTCAGTATATTTGGTAACTCTAATAAATGAAGGCATTTTTTTAAAACTTCTAGGAAACAGGTACAATGATTTTGTGTTTTCAAGTATATTTTCTCTGTTTAAGCCTGTGAGGCTATGAAATGAGATACAAAACAGGCAGCAATGACATATTTATGATTCCTATTTCTCTGTGCCCTGAAAGAACATAATATACTAGTGAAATTAGCTAAGTAAATTACACTCACTGTATAAAGCTGACAAATGAGACTGAATCAAAAGAGTTTATCACAATTGAAATTTCACGTAGATATAGAAGATTTGCAGACTATCAAGTGATTTCAACTTTACATTTGCTGTTTCAACAATTTTATCATTCTGACTTCCGTGGAAGGGATACATTGTGGAACCTAGAAGGTTCTAAAATTAAAATTAGTTACAATGTTAATAAGGCTATCATGAAGACTCATTGAAAGGTTAACATAAATTTGGACTGTGCTATGAATAATTTTTTTTTTTACCCAGAATTTTGGGGCAATTAGGCATGCCAAATAAGTCCAGAGCTTAGCAACATGCTGAACACATAGTGAGCACTCAATAAATTTTGGTCAAATAAGTGAATTGAATTAATTTTTGAGATAACTGAAATTTACCCTTTCAAATGCCCTCTCCAAAAAATTGTATTTTACATTTGATGATGTAAATCTTTATAAAACAATTGATGTATTACAGAGATACCTTGATTCTTTAGTAAACAGGGAAGAAATAAATAAAATGAAATTCTTGATCACTGGTCTGCTTTCTTAAGAGCACACCAGTTAACCTTTTCTTAATGATTTGACCTTAAGGTAGCCTTATGCTAAGAGGCTCTGTCTATCCATGAGCCTACTAAGGAGCCACCCAGGCCTACTGGATACTTTTGTTCTTGTTGTTTCTAAATAACATCTTTTTTAAAAAATCTCTGCTTTTTTGTAGTTCAGTCAGTTAACAACTTTGGCTCCTTTTACTTCCACTTTGACATAGGCTGGGAAGTCAAACCACAAAGCATGTTAGAATTACATGCAATATAATAGTAAATAGATTTTTAGAGCCTCTTCTCTGAGTAAGGTAAGACAGATTTAACATATGGAAATTGTGGCACATAGTTTCAGGTTGAGAGAGACCTTTGGGGTTTTTCTTCCCAATTCTCTGCTACTTTCAGAAAGGCAAAAGGGAAATTTAGTGTTAAATGCTATTATATATTAGACACTGTCCCAAACATCATTCCTGTTAATCTTACAACAGTCCAAAAAGACATGGATACAAGTATCCCCATTTTAATGGCCAGGAAACAGCCTCCAGTCTCCCAAATGACTTACCCAGAGTCACACCCATAGGAGGTAAGGCAGCTAATGGATTAGAATCTAAGCAGGTCTAATTCCAAAGCCTAAACCACTTACCCTTCCATTGTCCTGTGCCAGGCAGCTATTGGCCTCTTGAAATGAAGTCAGTCTTACCGTTCTAGTCACTAGAGGGGCCCCGTTTTGATGCTGATACATGTTAGGGAGACAGAATACTTGAATTACAGCATGGGGATTTGCCCCCAAAAAAGCATAATGAAGGGGCTTCCTCACACATTCTTCACCAGGTTTTCCTAATTTGAGCCTGGGTAAAGCCTCAAAGCCAGTAGGTTGGTATCATCCTTATCAATTTTATTACTTATGTCTATTGTTTTATAGAAACAAGACTTCTTTGAGCATGGAGTAAGCTCATGGAACCCATTATCCCTAAAAGCTCCATTTCTATATTTGATTTTAAGAATTGCAATTTGAGTGAGCACTTTCATACATTCATGCTAGTATTACAAAATGGTACAATATCTGTGGAATGGAATATGGCACAATCTATCAAAATTACAAATGCAGTCATCCTCGGAGACAGCAGTCCCTCTTATGGGAATTTATCCTACAGATAAATATGCACATGTCAGAAATTACATGTGGACAAGGTTATACATGTAGCATTGTTTATTGTTTATAATAGGAAGAAAAATGAAGAGAAAAAAACCCAAGTGTCAGTCCAAAAGAATACTAGTTAAATAAATTGTAGCACATCCACATGACAAAATACTATGCAGTGATATTGAAAATTTATGGGGTTTTTTT